GGGGTTTCACCATGTTGACCAGGATGGTCTCGATCTCTTGACCTCGTGATCCACCCGCCTCGGCCTCCCAAAGTGCTGGGATTACAGGCTTGAGCCACCGCGCCCTGCCAAGGTTAAATTTTTTTCATATTATTGTTTAAGTGGCTATAGGCAACTCAATCTCTTTGATCTTTACTTTTCTTATCTGTTAAACGATAATAATGTCACCTATTTTGTACTTCAGGTGATGATAACAAGAGAGAAACTAAGGCTTTTTTCACTTAGCATAATGTCTTCAAGGTTCATCCATGTTATAGCATGTATTAGATATTCATTCCTTTTTATTGCTGAATAATATTCCATCGTATGGATCTGCCACATTTTGCTTATCTGTTCATTATTTGATGAACATTTGGGTTGTTTCCATGTTTTACCTATCATGACATATTGTGCAAACATATGTTTTCATATATTTTGGGTAATATATCTAGGAGTAAGATTGCTGGGTCATATGGTAATTCTATGTTTAGCATTTAGAGGAACTGCCAAATTGTTTTCCAAAGGGGCTACTCCCAGCCTGGTGCGGTGACTCATGCCTGTAATCCCAGCACTTTGGGAGGCTGAGGTGACAGATCACTCGAGGTCAAGAGTTTGAAAGCAGCCTGGCTAACATGCTGAAACGCCGTCCCTACCAAAAATACAAAAATTAGCTGGGTGTGGTGGAGCGCCTGTGACCCTAGCTACTCAGGATGTTGAGGTGGGAGAATTGCTCGAACCTGGAAGGCAGGGTTACAGTGAGCCCAGATTACCCCACTGCACTCCAGCCTGGGGGATAGAGCGAGATTCCTTCTCAAAATAAATAAACAAAACAAAAAAAGCACAAAGGACATTTTGAGAGAAGATCTTCTCATAATATTTAACAAAATTTGAGTATTAAGCAATGATAAACATTTACTTTTTTTAAAAAAGTGGCTACCCATTTTTACACTTCTACCAGCAAAGTTTGAAAGTTCCAATTTCTCCACATCCTCGACAAAACTTGTTGATCATAGTCATCTGGTGTTTTTTATTTTGTTTTGTTTACTTATCTATATTTGAGACAGGGTCTCGCTCTTTCCCCCAGGCTGGAGTACAGTGGCACGATCTAAGCTCACTGCAACCTTCACCTCCCAGGTTTAAGCAATTCTCATACCTCAGCCTCTCAAGTAGCTGGGACTACAGATGTGTGCCACCAAACCCAGCTAATTTTTGTATTTTCCTAAAGCCCAACTTTCATCATGTTGCCCAGGCTGGTTCTGGTGTTTGAAATGGTATCTCCTGTGGTTTTTATTTGAATTTCTCTAGTGGATAATGACATTGAGCATCTTTTCATGTGCTTTTGGGTCACTTGCATATCCTTTTTGGAACTATGTCTGTTTAGGTCCTTTAAACTTTTTTTTTTTTTTTGAGACAGAGTCTCACTCTGTCACCCAGGCTGGGGTGCAGTGGTGTGATCTCTGCTCACTTCAATCTCTGCCGCCTGAATTCCTGTGATTCTTGTGCCTCAGCCTCCTGAGTAGCTGGGATTACAGTTGTGCACCACCACACCTGGCTGATTTTTGTATTTGTAGTAGAGATGGGGTTTCACCAGGCTGGTCTTGAATTTCTGTCCTCAGGAGATAGTCCGCCTCTGTCTCCTAAAGTGCTGGGATTAGAGGCATGAGCCACTGCACCCAGGCAAACTTTTTTTTTTTTCTGATAACACTTAAGATCTACCGTCTTAGCAAATGTGGAATATAGGATCAGTTTTTCTTTGTTGTTGTTGTTTTTTAGATAGTGTTTCACTCTGTCGCCCAGGATGGAGTGCAATGGAGGGATCTCAGCTCACTGCAACCTCCACCTCCTGGATTCAAGTGATTCTCCTGCGTAGCTGGGATTGCAGGTATGTGCCACCACACCTGGCTAAATTTTGTATTTTTAGTAGAGATAGGGTTTGGCCACGTTATTGAGTTTGGTCTTCAACTCCTGGGTTCAAGCAATCCACCTGCCTTGAATTTTAATTTAGATGAAATCCAGTTTATCTATTTTTCCTCTTGTCACATGTGCTTTTGGCTTATTTTGAATTTTTTTTTTTTTAATATGGTATGAGGTTGGTGTCCAGCTTCTTTCTTTTGCATGTGGATATCCAGTTGTCCTGGTATTATTTGCTGAAAAGTCTATTCTTTCCCATTGTATAGTCTTGGCACCTTACTGAAAAATCAACAGACCATAAATGTAAGGGTGAATCAATTCTTAAATGCTGATTTTTATACTTTTTAAAAATGTTCTATAAACAAAATAAGATTCACATTGCCAGTTAAAAAGTTCTGGTAGAAATGATTTCCTGTGACTTATATCATCATCAGCATTATATTTTAAGATGTTAATGACTCTACTTATGAGAAATTTTAACAAAACACAGATGAATTGTTCATATTTGTTTGTTTCTCTCAAATTTGTTGATATAATTAGTAAATTGAAATATTCTTGTTCTCTAGTTGAACTTCCAAATATTCCTGAATATTTATCTCCTAAAAGTACCTAAACATTCTTGTAAAATTAAAGAATAAAAAATATTTGGCCGGGTACGATGGCTCACACTTGTAATCCCAGCACTTTGGAAGACTGAGGCAGGTGGATCAGTTGAGGTCAGGAATTTAAGACCAGCCTGGCCAACAGGGTGAAACCCTGTCTCTACTGAAAATACAAAAATTAGCTGGGCATGATGGTGCATATCTGTAATCCCAGCTACTTGGGAGACTAAGGCAGGAGAACTGCTTGAGCCTAGGAGGGGGAGGTTACAGTGAGCCAAGATCATATCATAGCACTGCAAACTAGGCAACAGAGCAAGACTCCATCTCAAAAAAAAAAAATAATAACAAAAATAAAAATATTTTTTCCAGGCCACGTATGGTGGCTCATGCTTATAATCCCAGCACTTTGGGAGGCCAAGGAGGGCGGATCACTTGAGGCCAGGAGTTTGAGAGCAGCCTGGCCAACATGGTGAAACCCCATCTCTACTGAAAAATCCAAAATTAGCCAGGCACGGTGGCATGCACCTTTAGTCCCAGCTACTTAGGAGGTCCCTTCACTCAAGCCTGGGTGATAGCACCAGATGTTGTCTCAAAAAAGAGAAAAAAACGTTTAATAGTTTTGACTGTGCGGGGCCATTGAAAAGGTCTTAGGATCAGATCACTTTTTTTTGAGACAGTGTCTCACTTTGTCACCCACTCTGAAGGGCATTGGTGCCATCTCAGCTCACTGCAGCCTCAACTGCTGTTCACTGCCAGCTTCAAGAGACCCTCCCACCTCAGCCTGCCAAGTAGTTGGAACTACATGTGTGTACCACCACCCATGTTTTGTTTTGTTTTATATATATATATGTAGAGATGGGGTTTCTCCATGTTGCCCAGGCTGGTCTTGAACTCCTGAGCTCAAAGGATTTGCCCACCTCGGCCATCAGTTTCCTGCATGAGCCACTGTGCCTAGCCAAGATCACACTTTAAGAGTGGTATAATATGACCTGTCAAACAAAGAAAGCAAAAACGTAAGCACCTTTTCTTTAAAAAACAAAACAAAACAGGAAGCAACAAACAATAGCACACAAAACACACAAGCATGTAATCCTAGCACTTTGGGAGGCCAAGGCCAGCTGATCACTTGAGGTCAGGAGTTTGAGATCGGCCTGCCCAACATGGTGGAACCTGGTCTCTACCAAAAATACAAAAAAAAAAAAAAGAGCCGGGAATGGTGGTAGGTGCCTGTAATCCAGCTACTCAGGAGGCTGAGGCAGGAGAATCACTTGAACCCAGGAGGCAGAAGTTACAGTGAGCTGAGATGGTGCCACTGCACTCCAGCCTGGGCGACGAGTGAAACTCCATCTAAACAAACAAACGAACAAACAAAAAACCCCCCAAAACAAAAACAAAACATATACACACACACAAGCAGTAATATAAAAAAATATAAACTCACAATGGCAATTTCAATTTCACATCTCTTTAATATTCAGGCAAGCAGACAGGCTTATAAACACAGCTTCTAATTCAAACGTCGTTGCCATTTTTCGGAGTTTGAATCCTATTAATTATTAGTGTTTCCAACCACATGGGCAGGTATCCAGAGTTCAAAAGGCTTCATTCACCCTCCCCCACCAAAGATAGACTCTTTGAGGAAACATGTGGGTGGTAGAACCACAGTAAAAATATTTTAGTACATGTTTTTTGTTTGCAGCTTGGATTGGGAACTATCCATTTACTATAATCAAATTTTCTTTGAAAGTATATGATAGAAGATAACATTCTCAAGTGGAACTGGTTGTAGATGTGGGGAGCTGCAAGCTAAACCTCTTATTTGCTCTCTTTGTTCTGTTATTCCAGGCCATTTAATGTAGGATGACAGAATAGGTTGAACCTACATGTTTCTGAAAAAGCCACTTGCTAAACAGTCTGTTAGGAGGCTGGCTACAGGATCTTCACTCAATAATACTGCTAACGAGAAATTTGTTTTGGCCATCCTGCCCCTAAAACTGAATAGAAAAGTATTCTATTCAGTTTCCTAATGCCTGTCCCATGGTGTGACCCACCCAGGCCTGCCCTCCTGGGAAATGCACTGACTTTAAGATATTACCTATTCCTTTGCCTTCTCCTCTATCCTTCAGCAAACAAACATCCTTTGTATTCTGCCAGTGAAGTCTGATCTTAGATCAGTCCAGTCTGTGATACTGTGAAGTCAAGCTGACTAAAATAATTTACACTAAGGTATTAATGATGGATAAATGCGAAGTGTTTAAGAAGTAAACCAACTGATGATCTGAACAAATATATTTTCAAAGGGGTAACTACATGTAGTCATTGAACAGACGGCTTAGCTTTTTCTTTTTTTAGAGGCAGGGCCCTGCGGACTGCCCAGGCTGGGGTGCTGTGGCACCGTCATAGCTCACTGCAGCCTCGAACTCTTGAGCTCCAGCGATCCTCCTGCCCCAGCCTCAGGAGTAGCTGTGACTACAAGCTTGTGCCACTGCGCCGGATTGGCTTGCCTTTCCAACCATTGTACAAGCCAATAAACCATTTAGATTTTAATCTAATTATGCTGAGTGCTCAGTCTGTAACTGAAGGGCAATTCTAAGGCAAGAAATGAGACATGAGGTCACATATAGCTATGTTTGGCAACCTCAGATGTTTGGATATTAAGGTGACAGTGGGTGAAGTACTAAGAGGGCAGTCTCATCATTCGAACAAGATGTTTTGTTTTCAAGGCCCCTGATAAATTATGGAATTTTCAGGAGTTCTTTTAACATTCCACTTATTCCCTCTATTGATTTAAGGCCTAAAAATTTTTTATTTTAAAGTAAACAGTGTTACCGAGGCTTGAGCTATGATTCTCAAGTGTGTTTTTTAGGATGAGATGGGGCCTCGCGGAGGTTGCGGTGAGCCGAGATTGCACTCCAGCCTGGCTAACAAGAGCGAAACTCCGTCTCAAAAAAAAAAAAAAAAAAAAAAAAGATGGGGCCTCGAACTTTGGCGTACGTGAGACAAGTTAAATCAACGCCATCTCCGCCCTGTTTTGCGGGGTGTCTTCTCTTTTTTCGCAGCCGTTCCACTCCCCGGGCTTGACTGAAGGTAGAGGACGGGGTGACTGCCCAGCCCAGAAGGCCACCAACAGCATTATTTCCCTCACAGTCTCCAGATATACTTGCTCTCACTGTGACCTTTCGCTTAACAGGCAGGCAGTGCGGCGTCCGCAGAGAGCCAGAACGGCACTGCGCGCTGGACGCAAGCAACAGGCACGACTCGCGCGCCGCCACGGGGAGAGTCTCAAGCAACAGCAGTGGGCGGCGCACGAAACCTCTCCTTTCTTTAACCCTTCTTCATGCCGAGTCCCACCCTCGCCGGAAGTCGAGCGGCTGCTACAACATGCCACTTCCGGTGCGGCCGGCCGGTCCCTGGCGGGAGCGAGCACGCCACTGCGCGGCAACTTTGTTCCCGCCTCTCTTGCCTCTCCACCACTCATCTTGGGCTTTCGCTGAGCGTGACGTGCGTGCGCGCTCCCGGTCGTGCGTCGGGGCTGAAGCGAAAAGCCGAACCAGCGAGGCGAGAAGGAGGGGTTGTGGAGGTTAGGGCCCAACCAGCTAGTCCCATTGCTCTCCCTCCTACTGACGAGGAGCGAAGAGGGAAGGGGAGGAGCGAGGAGGGGCCGGCCGCGCACGCCAAGAGCCTCCTCGTGGAGGGGGGGAACGGAGGAAAGGGGTAGCTCCGCCACCTCTGCTCGCGACGGCGGGGGAGAAGGAAGAAGAAAGTCAGGGCCCGTACCCACCGCCACAGACTCAGAAAAGCCCCCGCCCCCATCTCCCCGGAAATAGCCCCCCGCCCAGCCCCGCACACTCGCTGCCCCAACCGTGAGCCGCAGCCCGGTCGCCCCCGCCTCGCCCCGCCCCGCCGCCCAGCCCCGCGGGCCGCAGAGTGCGCGAGGTCCTAGGCTGGGAGTTGTTGTCAGGCCCAGGCCACTTGCGAGGCGTCTGCGGTGTGTCGCCGCCACCACAGGAGGACGACGTCGACGCCGAGGAGGAGGCGGTGGAGGCGTGCTGTTGTCTCGCCCACTCCCCTCCCCTGAACTCGCACCCAACGTCAGGGCGCGATGGAGTGAAGCGGAGACGAAGGTGGTACTTCCGCGTTGCGCTGCCCGAGCCAAGAGCGCGGCCGAGGCCGCTCCCCCACCCCCGGGGGCACTTGGAGGACTCGGGACTGCCCAGCTGGTCAGCGCCCGGCGCATCTGGTGTTTTCGTTGCCGCGAATAGGACGACGAGCGCGATCGGGAGCTCCGCCGCCCGGATTCCTGCTTCCCTGAGGCCCGGAGGCCGCTGCGTACCCCACTGTGACCTGGAATCCAGGGACTCGAGTCCCGACCCGGATTATCGTGGCGCGTCTCCCGGCCGGCCCTGGTGCTCGGTGTCCCTCCGCCGCCGCTCCCGTTTCCGGCGGGGGAGATGGCCAGGGTCTGACCCGGGAGGAGGCCGCACCCGCGCCGCGCTCTGCGGCGGGCTCTAGGCGATGCCGAGCAGCTCGGACACGGCGCTGGGGGGAGGCGGGGGTCTGAGCTGGGCGGAGAAGAAGTTGGAGGAACGCCGCAAGCGGAGGCGATTCCTGTCCCCTCAGCAGCCGCCACTGCTGTTGCCGCTCCTGCAGCCGCAGCTCCTGCAACCGCCGCCGCCCCCGCCGCCTCTGCTCTTCCTGGCTGCTCCCGGCACGGCCGCCGCCGCAGCCGCCGCCGCCGCGGCCTCCTCCTCTTGCTTCAGCCCAGGCCCCCCTCTGGAGGTCAAGCGGCTGGCGAGAGGCAAGAGGCGCGCAGGAGGGCGGCAGAAGCGGCGCCGCGGGCCCCGCGCCGGGCAGGAGGCGGAGAAGCGTCGGGTCTTCTCGCTGCCCCAGCCGCAGCAGGACGGCGGTGGCGGTGCTAGTAGCGGCGGGGGTGTGACCCCGCTGGTGGAATACGAGGATGTGAGCTCCCAGTCCGAGCAGGGGCTGCTGCTGGGGGGGGCCAGCGCGGCAACGGCGGCGACGGCTGCCGGGGGAACGGGGGGCAGCGGCGGGAGTCCGGCCTCCTCCTCTGGCACCCAGAGGCGCGGGGAGGGGTCAGAGCGCAGGCCCCGCCGGGACCGCCGCAGCAGCAGCGGTCGAAGCAAGGAGCGCCACCGCGAGCACCGGCGGCGGGATGGGCAGCGCGGCAGCAGCGAGGCCTCTAAGTCCCGCAGCCGCCACAGCCACAGCGGCGAGGAACGGGCCGAGGCCGCCAAGAGCGGCAGCAGCAGCAGCAGCGGTGGCCGCCGGAAAAGCGCCTCGGCCACGTCCAGCAGCAGTAGCAGCCGCAAGGACCGGGACTCGAAGGTCCACCGCAGCCGGACTAAGTCGTCCAAGGAGCCGCCTTCGGCCTACAAGGAGCCGCCCAAGGCCTACCGGGAGGACAAGACCGAGCCCAAGGCCTACAGGCGGCGGCGGTCTCTGAGCCCGCTGGGAGGCCGAGACGACAGCCCGGTGTCCCACAGGGCCTCTCAGAGCCTGAGGAGCCGCAAGTCCCCCAGCCCAGCAGGAGGTGGCAGCAGCCCTTATTCCCGGCGGCTGCCGCGCTCCCCGAGCCCCTACAGCCGCCGCCGCTCCCCCAGCTACAGCCGCCACAGCTCCTATGAGCGGGGCGGCGACGTGTCCCCCAGTCCCTACAGCAGCAGCAGCTGGCGCCGCTCTCGCAGCCCCTACAGCCCTGTGCTCAGGTGAGTCTCGCCGTTCTGCCCGTGTGTGCTTTGGCTGCGCTGATCCCCAGCAGTAGGGAAAGTGGTGCCTGGGTTCTCAAAACCACGCAGGTCCACTGCCGAAACAAGACAACATCGCCTGAGCCTCCCAGGAAGGAGAGGCGTTTTCGCGCGCCTGTGACACTTTTAGGGGGTAGAAGGGACAAAGCAACTGGGCGAGTGGAACTTTTCCCCAAGCTGTGGCAGGGAAGATTTTTGAGGAAGAATTTAAAGTTTCAGACGTGTTGCATTAATGTGTTAACGGGTTTCTCCCAATTGTTCTTTGTTTTTCTGGCACAATTAGTTTGGGTAAACTTAGAAGTGGTTTAAATCGTCTCAATTTTGAAAGTTCTGTGAAGAGGTTTCATTGTTGAGGATTTAGGAATGGACTGCAGCTTAGGGTCTGATACTGTACAGGGAGTAAGAATCAGGTGCTGATGTCAGAGTTAGATGTAGATTGCAGATGTTTCTTATGATTATTACAGTGATGAGAGAAGCAGCCTTTCTGTAAAGTTTATTCTTTTAGCATGTGAAAAAAGCTTTTGTGGAAGTTGATAGTTCTGAATACTGAAGATAAGGAAGCTATCTATTTAGTGAAATTGTTGTGGGGGATTGTTTTACCTGATCTTCCGAAGTCATAATTACAGAAAGTAGAAAAAAATGACAAGATTTTGGTTTCTTGGTTTGTGATGACACGCAGTTGCTAATAACATTATAAATCTGGGTGATGTAAGCTAGTGTAACCAAGGGAATGACAGTACATTCTTATGCTATTATAAGTCTGTAACTGCTTTATTTAAAGTTAAGTGGACTTTTTTGTTTGTTTAGATATGCCCGAAGGATAAAAACACAAGATAACCAGACTTTTAAATATCAGAATCTTTGTCCAGAAATCTTTAAAAGGTTTAATTTAATTTAGTGAAATTGGAGTAAAAGTTCTATGTAGCTTTCTTGCCTCCTTTGTTATATAGTATTCTTTTTTAAAAACGTGCCTTAAAATATGCTTATCAACTAAGCAGAGTTCACTAAAAACAACTTTCGTGTATTTTATGGGTTCTTATATTCCTTGAGATGTTTGCACATTCCAGGCCTTATGATTTCTATTGCAAAATGACATTTGGATCGCTTTTTCTTATTGGCTTTCAGTAATGGCAAGTGGATGCACAGTACCTCTAAGTATGGGTTATGTGGAATCTTAATACAATACAAATATGCATCTGCAAAATTAGCAGACCTCTTTGAAATATCAGCCTAGTAAATGTAGAGGTGTGATGTTTGCAGAGATCTGAGCGTGTTTGTCTTTAAAGCCAAAAGAGTTGTATAAATTGTTTCACTCTTAACAGGGTTGAAGCACACTTAAAATGGTAGTTGATGCCTTAGTGAAGAATTGAAAAACTCATTCATCAAAATTAGCCATTATATCTTGTAAGACATTGTATTTTAGTTTTAACTATAATACTTGGTTTGCCAAAAGGTTTGTGATTTTTGCAGTTGAACGTGTTTTGCAAACTGGTTGGTTTAATTTTCAGGACTTTAGTATTTTAAAGTGTTCGATGCAATTTTAAGAATGGACTTTTTATTTATCAGGCTTTTTAGTTGCTGGATACTTTAGCGAGGTCCTTTATTGTATAATAGTAGTATATATTTTGTATAATTTTGGTATGTGTGATTAGGACTATTCACATTTAGTGTTTTTGTATTGTATGCCATATACTGTTTTAGGTATTGAGATATAGCAGGGAAGAATTAGTTACTGCCCTCATGGAACTTGCATTCTGGAGGACCATTCAATACAGAATCTTTTCGTAGTGTTTATATTGACCACCGGTATTTCTATAGGATTGAATTTCGAAGAACTATAGGGTATCTTGGCTAACATTCCTGACAGATGGCCATTTGGTATGTGCCTGAAATACATCTGGAGGTGGGAAGCACATTACTTTGAGCAACCTGTCCACTAGATTTGGGACTTTAGCAAGATCCTTGGAGACTCAGTTTCCTAAACTATAACAGGGAAACACTTGTTTTTTGGGATTATTTCAAGGATTAAGTGAAAATTTATCTTTTTAAAGCTTGCAACCTTACAAAAATATTTAATATAAGGTGGTTGAATTATTATCTCAAATTGTTGGAATTCTTCATATTGTAACCAAAATACACCTTCGTGCCACTTTCACCCATTGCTCCAAGTTTAGCTCTTGGAATGGTACAGAGCACGCGTGTATGCTAAACCTTAAAATGTAAAGACAATTGTCTTGTTTTCTGAGTCTTCTAGGCTAGAAAACTCACATGGTTTTCAGATTTTTCACATTGTAACTAGTTTGTCAAATGTCCAGCTTAAAACGTGGATCCCAGAATTAATAGCAAAATAGTTGATTGAAAAATCTTAAGATTTTAAAATATAGTAAATGTATTATTACTTTTTAGGAACAGATGATTGAACTCACTTGTACAGATTAATGCAAAAAGTGTTGTTTATTTTCAGAATTTATTACTTGTGGTAAGTGGCTCATGTTCTTAAATGAACAGACTGGCTGTGAGTTTCATGAAGGCACTGGCCTGTCTTGTCCACCATTGTATTTCTAGTGCTCAGCATTGTATCCCGCACAAGTACACTCTTAATAAATGTTGAATAGGTATATGAAGGGATGATGGAGTTTACTGAACATGCAAAATATTAATGTGGGACTGTATTACAAACTTTGTTTAAATATTTAGTATGGACCATGTGTAATGCTGTAAGAAACAGTGTAATCTTTTCCTAGCCTACTCAGAACTTACATATTAATGAATTGTCAATGTAGATATTTTTAAGGAAATACATATACATTCAAAATAGTATGAGAAATCATGGTATGAAGATTAAAAATAATTTTTTTTTAAAATAAATAAGCTGAAAATAGCGATAGGGTTTCATCATGTTACTCAGGCTGATCTCGAACTCCTGGGCTCAAGTGATCTACCTACCTCAGCCTCCCAGAGTCCTGGGATTAGAGGTGTTGAGTCACTGCACCCAGCCTGAAGTTTTTTTGATGTCAGATCCTAGAATAAATCCTTTCCATTTTAGTGATTTCTACCTCACAACTTATTCTTTGTCTTCATTTGAATCTTCAGTCCTCAGCTCATGCATTTCTTTTCATCAATTCCTTCTTAACTTTACCTGGCCTCCCCACTTCCCGGTATAACCTGTTTGCCGTATTTTTTTTGCTAGTTGACTGTTGGGGTGTGGAAGGTCATATAGTCTTGCTGATTGGCCCTATAATAAATGTGAGGGTGTATTGAAAAGAGGGGAGGGTACTATTTGTAGTGTTTTGCTGTGTGCCAGGCAATGATAAATATTTAACATAAGTTGACCACTGAAATCCACATGATAGTTGGAAACATTCTCATTGATGGATTGGGAAATGGGAGCTCTAAAAAGTTAAGTGATTTGCTCCAAGATCAGCTTAGATTCAAACCCTACGCTGATTTGAAAGTACATGCTCTTAATATTAAAGAGCATGGATTTTGGTTACAATATGAAGAATTCTAACAGCAGTCTATTCATTAAAGAACATGGGCCACTTACCACTTAAAGCATATGCTATATTGAACTTAGATTTGCATTAAGGGGAGATGGCAACCTCACACAATGACCTCTTTTGGTGAAAATCAGCTGCTGTTTGGATATATATGTGTTCATTTCTGTTTTTTGGCCATTTATTCAGCATTTTGAAGGTTTTAAAAGACTAGTCTTCTAAAGATTCTTTCAGCTTATTTGTGTTTATTAATTCGTAGTTTTTATGAACAATTAGGTTTACATCTTGTGGATGTATTTTCTACTTTGTCTTTACAAAGATTGGCTAAAAACATTTCTTGAAGGCATTAATTACTTTTACTTATTGATGGTGGTTTTCCAGAGTTATTTTGATCTGAAGTTACTGATGTCAGATTAGTTAAAATCGGTACAAGAAATTATTATGTATGTTTTGCTCTTTCTCTAAACCTGTGGAAGTTCCATTCCACCAAGAAACACAGAAGCCTTCATTATGGAATAATAACAAGAACTTAAGAATCTGAAAAAGATGGGTGAACTCTAGATATAAATAAGAAAAATTACTGGTATTCACTTATATGTGGTACTTCTGTTACGGATTATTTAATGTTTTTTCCTGATAACTGTTGTTCAAAAGTATATAAAATGGAGATATTCCAGAATGAAAAAAAACAGCTACTTATAAAATATGCCACTGATTTAATATATGTTTAATAGGAATCAGTCATGAATATCCCTAGGTGAAAGGAATTCTTAAAATGCTTTAAGCAGTTTCAAAAATAGGATACTACAACAAATGTAGAAACTCTCAGAAGGGAATGGAAGTATAGATTGACTGTCTTAAATCTCCAAAGCTGCGATCATTATTTTCATTCTCAGAGTGATGGCTTTGTGTTTTCCTCTTTCTCTGACCGAACTTTACCTGACATTTACATCTACTCAGTCCTTGAGTCCTTGTCACATTTCTTTTCCACTAACGCTAATATTTATTTCCTCTTTTCCATTTCTGTCACCCTTTAAGGTTAATCAGTTAGACTTCCTGTTACCGTTACCATTCTTCTCATTTCATCCATTCTTTTCTTCCCAGATCGTTCTTTATCAAGAGAGTTTTCTTAAAATCTTTGTTTAGCTCATGTCACTCCCATTATATTAGAATTATTATTATTATTAGCATAAATCTAAACTTTTTTTTTTTTTTTTTTTAAAGGGATAGTGTCTAGCTCAGTTGCCCAGCCTGGAGTGCAGTGATGTGATCATGGCTCACAGCACCCTCGAACTCCTGGGCCCAGAGCATTCTCCTGCTTCAGCCTCCCTAAGTAGCTGGGATTGCAGGTGCATACCACCATGCCTGGCGAATTTTTGTATTTTTTGTAGAGGTGGGTTTCACCATATTGCACTGATTTGTGTTGAACTCCTGGCCTCAGACGATCTTTCCACCTGGGCCTCCAAAGTGTTGGGATTACAGGCATGAGCAGCTGTGTGTGGCCAAGCCTAAACTTCCTATGCATTGTCAGT